GATTTCGCTCTTGAGGAAGTGTTATTGAAAATGCTGTATTCTCCGCTATGCATCACCTCAGCCATTTCGAATGTGGCGCGCTCAGCAGCAGATTGATGCGCTGCAGAGGTTATGATTATGCGCGGTCCCGCGGGGGAGAGGTCTGAGGATTTAAACATTAGACTTCAATTATTGTTATTTTAATATATTTATTATGCAATACCCGCGACCCGACCTGCTTCATCTTTGTTTTACCCAGAACTGAACCCGGAAAAAAGCGTTTGAAAAAAGATTCTCTCTCTTTTTGTCCTGATCCATTTCTATAAAAACCTGTCTGAAAATGAGCTGATCAGATTTTGGCCACTTTCTGATGTCATAACGATGTTTTGGCTTGTGTAACCATTAGCCAATCGCCAACCAAGGTAACCCCCCCACCTTATCACCTGAATCTCCTCCTAGAGCACCATTGTGTTCTTTTTAACCAAATGTCTCTCAGAGGGGCGTGGGGAGGGGCTCCTTATTTTCATCTAAGGTAACAGACAGAGAATCAGCACTTTTGAAACAGGGCTGAAACAGAGGGGATTATGGGTAATGCTGCAATGACCTGTTTGGTGTTTCGAGCCAAACACTTCAGAGACATGTTTTGTATATATCTGAGACCTATAATAAATTGATGAAAAACAGTTTAATAGGGGACCTTTTTAAATGTATCTATTCTCCTTTCTCATCCCTCTGCAGCGTCCAGTATTCTCTCGTCCCCCTCAAGGAAAGGTCAGAAGGGCACCCTGGTGGGCTACTCTCCTGAAGGGACCCCCCTCTACAACTTCATGGGCGATGCTCTGCAGCACACATCGCAGTCGATTCCCCGCTTCATCAAAGATTCCCTGAAGCAAATCCTGGAGGAGTACGACTCCAGGCAGATCTTCTACTTCCTGTGTCTCAACCTGGTACGTACAGCGTAAGGAAGAGAAAACTCACAACTGAACTAGGACTAAATATTGGGGATATTATGGTGAAGGGGAATTTATTAAAAATATATTTCAAATTGGCAAATTAAAACTCTATCTTTGTACAAATATTTTAATTCTATTTTATATTTTATTAGAAATTATACTTTCACTTGTTATTAATTTAATTTGACAATCAGTTAGATATACTCCCACAACCCATCAGAGACTGCACTGACCTCACCACCTTCAAAAAACGTACAAAAACTCACCTCTTCGATCTGGCTTTTAATGTGTGATTGTTTTTGTATTGCTTGATTTTAATGTGACTTTAACTATATTTATTTGTTGTTCTTTTCTTTTCACTATGACTGTAAAGCGACTTTGAGCACCTGTAAAGCGCTAAAAAAAAAAGTATTATTATTCAGGAAAAACGTACTTTCTGTTCAATATAGATTCATAATTAATAAGACGGCATATGCATGAATACAAAGATAACAGAAATTAATCAAGCATTAAGAAAGAAATAACATTAACAGCATAATCATTAAAAATAGTTTACTTTGAATTAATTCTTAAAGATACCTGCAATGTTCTAACTATTAATGTCAACTAATCAATAAAGATTAAATTAATCATTCAAAATGACAGCCATTGTGTGGATGCCGCCCACAAACTCCTACAACATCTTGGTGATAGAAGTGGTATAAAATGATATCTCCAAACTAAAAGGAAAAAATGGTTTCTGATAAACTCTGTAGCTACCTCTAGGAATTTAGGCTGTTTAAACACCTGAACATTAATTAACATTTTAGAAATACACACAAATGATTTACTTTTAAAAGCTGACATTTTATGACTCTAGATATTTCAATTTGACAATTGTTTTTTAGAATTTTCTGTAAATCAAAACCCTGCTTAAGGACATATGGATGTTGAATATATACAAAATTGGAGCAGTTAGATACTTTATTTTCAAGATATTACTTACATTTCAACCTTAATAAACCTTTTTCTTATACTATACATGACCAGCTTTTGTGCGATAAGTGTGAACAGTTTGTGTATTTTGAGTTAACGTGAGGTGTGCTGTTCCAGGCGTTCACCTTCGTGGAGCTGTTTTACGGCGTTTGGACCAACAGTCTGGGGCTGATCTCTGACGGCTTCCACATGCTGTTCGACTGCTCCGCTCTGGTGCTCGGCCTGTTCGCTGCGCTCATGACTCGCTGGAAAGCTACCAGGATCTTCTCCTACGGGTAAAAATGTCTTCTGACTTTTTCAAAAAATCTCAAAATTCTGACTTTTCTTCACACAATTCAGACTTTTTCGCAAAATTCTGACTTTTTCTCAACATCTCAAAATTCTGACTTTTTCTCAAAATCTCAAATTTCGGACTTTTTCAAAAAATTCTGACTTTTTCTCAAATCTCAAAAATCTAACTTTCTCAAAATCAGATTTTTTCACAAAATTCAGATTTCTTCACAAAATTCTGACTTTTTCTTAAATCTCAAAATTCTGACTTTTTCTTAAATCTCCAAATTCAGACTTTCTCAAAATCTCAAAAATTCTCACTTTTTCTGAATACTTAAACATTTTAATCATCACTCGTCACCCGCTTGAGCTTCAACATCAGGATCCATGTATTTATGATCCTCTCCAGAATGGAAGTAGTCATCACATACAGAGCATCAACTAGTTCCTGCACAGTGTCCTTCACATGCTGATATCCAAGAGAGGGAGTTACACAGTCACAAGATGGAGGAATAGAAAGCAGTATTCAATGTTTACTTCAGATTAGCTCCACGTCAGAAATGATCATGCTTGTCATATGTCTCTCTCCATAGAGGCTGAATCATCATGTTAATCACATAGCTATCATGTGCCTAAAACAGTCCTGATGCTCTTCTAGGTAATCACACATCCTGTCATGTTCACAGCTACAGTTGGGATACCTTTGTTATCGTGTTGCTCTCATGTTGGAAGAGTACATTCAGAGTTTTCCCAACATATTATTATTATCCTTATATCCGTAGCAGTTTGGTGCCTGTCTTCTAACGGCTCTGTGTCTCTTTCCAGCTGGATGTGGTTCTGGAGACGAACCTGGCCACTATCAGGGTTCTGGAGAGCGTGCAGAAGAAGCTGACCCGCCTCGCCCCGGAGGATCAGGACCGCTTCCGGTTAGACGACTGCCTGGGCGGCACCTCGGAGGTCATCCAGCGCCGCGCCGTGTACCGGATCTACGGAGACAAAGCACCCGAGATCATCGAGGGTCTGAAGAGGAATCCTGCCACTGCCGTGCCTGTGGTGCTCAAGAGGTCAGGACCATGTCTTAATTTCAATGTATTCAGTAGATCTGTTATGAATGTAAATAATATCCTACTTTTGTATTGTGTAAAATGTAATTTGGCTCTGGATTATTTGACGGATAGTCTCCAGACTTTCACTGTCATACTTTTTAGTCCTGTTAAGGTGTAACTTAAATCAGACTTAAGTTACACCTAGAGCAGAGTAACACTTTAATGCATCAATCATTATAAAACATATCATATATATTATTCTGAAATGGACCAATCTGCACAATGACTACTTTGACTTTTGGCACTTTAACTATATTTTGACTTTTCTACTTTCACTTGA